GGGCAGGCAAAGGTTGGGGGAGGGGGAGGGCGACTGAGACATAAATAACATAGCAACCCCTCCCTCGACCCACCTTCCCTAAACTACACACACACACGCGCGCGCACACACACACACACATAAATAGGCACGGTTTCTGTCCTAACAAAGACATCACACACCCCCTACACGAGCGAGCAAAGTCATGACGTCATAAAGAGGACATCGAAACAACAGAACGTTCTTTAGGTCAGCGAGTCTAGACTCGGTCGCCTCGCGCGCACACGCACACGTTCGCTCGTGGGAGAGAGAGCACACACACACACACACACACACACACACACAAAGGTAAATCGGGCAGGGACACTCCTTAAAATAAAGAGGCTACACGGCGTTTTGCGAGGGATTTTTTGTTCTTTCTTCAACGGAAAAACTAAAACTAAAACACGTATACCAACCAACGGTATTTGTGAAACTGATTCGCGCTAAAGTAAACCTCAGGTCCAATAATAAGTTAGGTCAGCAATATAAGTACAAGCAGGTCGAAGGCCTACTTTTAACGAAATTTAACCGTTTTTGTTGGGGGTTTTGTGTATGTGTGTGTGGTTTTTTTCACCTGCGTTAAAACTTATAATATATCTAGATCTAGATTCTAGATCTAACTAGGCCTACCGTACTTAGATCTAGATATCAAACTCAGAACCATACAACTTGATCATGATCTCAACCGGCTTTTACAACTTTCCAAACACACGTTATATTTTTGATACAATTGGGGGAAAAAAAACCTCGACTCTTAAGCAACCTAGGCTACACCTAAAGACACCTACATCTTGGACTGGGTACATGACATTGACATTCAAGATTCATTAGATTTTAATCTCTCTCTCTCTCTCTCTCTCTCTCTCTCTCTCTCACACACACACACACACACACACACACACACACACACACACACACACACACACACCTATTCTTTAGTCCACTACAATCAAGCCAATTAACGAGGTATAAACATGTTTTTAAAAGTTCAGTCTCACATTTTGGCCTACACAAATCTATTATTAGATCTAGATTTATGGCCTAGGCCTACGCATTTCCAGAGATCCTGGTTTCACGTCCACACCACAACAGGAACACACCACACACACAAAAAAACGACATAGGCCTGGATTTAAAATCTAGCCTAGATCAAGATTTCTACATCATACTAGATCTAGATATCTACATGGTATGGAAGAAAGCTACAATGAGTAAAATTCAAACAATTTCAACATCCAAAATGTTTTCAATAATAAATGATGACATAAAGCATTATTACCTGGTTCTTTTATCGTGTTTATTACCTTTCGAACACATTTCAATTTTTCAATCACTTCGTCAGTCAGATATAGGCATAGATCTAAGTATAATATAATGAACCACAGAAACAAGGAAGTAATCACTGACAGCAGATAGGCTATTGCAGCATGGAAGGTCGAACTTTCTCGATACAGGCATAAGAATAGATCAACAATATTACAATGAGTGAAATAACACTATTGATTATAATAAATCTTAATTAATTTAAATAAAATAGCTCTTACCTGTAAGAAAATATAGATCTAGATCTAGTAGTAGATCTACAACAAAACCGGGACTTTAAAAAACGTAAAGGTTAATTTAAATTTAACAGTAGAAGATCCGTCCGAGCTTGATACAGAATCTAGGATACGACGAACGAGACTAGACTAGACGGTAGGAACCTGCCTGCCTGCCAGTTTGAAAAACCAACTGCACTGCGACGAAGTGCTTAATCAGTGGTGCGCACAAAGTGCATTCGCTCGCACAGCCACACGTTTTTCCTGAACGGACACAAGTGATCGAGGTCACGCGATCCCCCTCCCACTGCAACAGAGCAAAATATGCCTCACCTTCAGCCGGTTCCATCGTCGATTAAATCGCGGCGATTCCTCTCTTCTTCTACTTCTACCGCCTCAAATAATTGATACAGGATCTGATTTTACACTCCCCTGTCATAAATATGAAAGAAATAATTATTAAAATACTTAATTTGTTTATTGCTTGCATGGGAACTTTGAAAAAGGATCTCCCACCCTTTGAACTAATCCACAGATGCGGATGTGGGTCAGGATAATACGCGAGGCCTTGAGAGACGATACTTACTGGGAAAGGGGCGGGGCCAAGTCAAACTTAGCCCTTACGTCATGACCTTGAAGCGACCGAAGGCACGATCAGACCGGCGGCGAAGCGTTGGTCGGGGAAGGACGTAGGTACTAGTTGAACCACCGTATTGTGGACAAATAAACTTGTTTATCTGCTGTATTCTGCGCATTTATCAGTAAATTCTCACCATATTTTGTTCGCAGCGCTGCACAAGCCGGCAGGGTGGGAACCACGCGGGGCGAACGCCATTGGTGCGCAAACTAGGTTAGGGGCGGAGCCTCTTCAAGGATAGGCCGAAAATACCGTCTGCGTCAATAATGTTGTTTATCTCCCTTTTCAGGCAGCCTTCAGATTCGTAAGGTGAAATCGACCCCGTCTAACATTAACAATACGCATTAAATATCGGAACGAAGAAAAAAAGATGGTGCAAAATTCATTTTTCGTAATGTATTTAGTGTTAAAACGTCCATAATGCTTGCGATAGGAGTCAGGGTTCTGGTCCAGTCTACCTTTGTCCGTGAGGAATGTTAGGCGTTTTCGGTGACCCGGTCGGGCATTTTAGCTAGGTCAACGACCGGCCAGACGAGCGAGCGGGGAGTGGAGGGAGAGAGAGAGAGAGAGAGAGGGAGAGAGAGAGAGGTGGGGAAAAAAAACCGCGGTGAACCAGGGGCCCCCCGACAAGTCACGTCAACTCGCCATGCGTCACGTGATGATTGGGGGCGGGCCAGAAAAACTGACGGTGGGAATAACGTTACGGGCAAAGGGAAGTAACCGATAGAATACAAAAATAAAAATTAAATAAATTAAATACATAAAAATGTGTTTATTAAAATTTTGTTCATGATTTTTATTACGGAAGAGTAGAGAAAGTGAAACGTTCAACTTTGGGAACTTTGCTCGTTCGCGTTGTTTGAATTCTATCGTCACTTGGCAAATATTTGTCTGAATGGAATTCTTCTCGAACTGTGCATCTTTGCTGTTGCATTAGATCTAGATTTAGCTTACGTTTCTGAAGGATTTTTATTTTTAAATTTCTGTCGTTAAATTTTTTTGTTCCCTTCTCGAATTTACTTTTGTGGCTTACCGTTTAATTA